AAGCTTGATCACTTGTATTCAGTGGATCTGCATGCCAAGAATCATCCCCATGAAATTAATGAAAAAACAACAACAAACCTGCATGTGGTAAGGGAACTTTTCTAGTACTCCAAGTTGAACCATTATATTATCTTTGCTTACTGTATCAATTTGTAGTTCTTATCTATTTTGTTGGAATGATATGACCAGAAGTATCAAGCACAGTACTTACATTCTGTGGTTTTGATAAAGATGCCACGTGTGGTGTGATAATAACCTGTAATGTAAAAAAACATTTGAAGTGTAATGATAAGAGATGACATTATCAAAGTTGGGAATTTACTCTTATGAATTATTCACAATAAATCATTTGAACTTTTATTCATCACCAAACTTAATTTATTTAATTTGTTATTTCTAATTTGATTATTATAAATATGATAGTATATATTAACTGATAACAGATAAACCTTCATATCAAAATTACAACATAACTGACAAACAGTAAAATTTAAAAGAAAGTACCACATATTCACTCATATATGTATTTAGCACTTGAAAAAAAGTATACTTAAAATATATTTACATGTAAATATTTTACCTCAGGTCTATTCCAAAGTGGACTGGAAGTAGGCAAAGGCTCCTCTATAAAAACATCCAGAGCTGCACCCGAGATCCACCCCTGACTATAAGAATATCAACCCTTAGTACTGACCACAGAGGTGGAATTATCAGTACAACACTCCAGTTTGTTCCAGTGTGTAGACTTTTCAAAATTATCCAGGTATTCAATACTGAAAACTCTAACTAGGTAATATTACAGCAGGTAATAATAAAGTGTATGAATTAAGTCTTAGTTTTATCAAAATAAGTATTACAAGTATGTAAGATTATGAAATAGAAAAGATATTTTGAATATTTCAGTTAGAATTCCAAGAGCTTACTTCATTATAATAAATAAAAGTATAAAATAATTTAATTGATGACCTCTGTATTTTCTGCATTATTGTGTAAAAAGTGCAAGATATATGTCATTACTTCAAACCCAACCTTCTGCCTGGTTCATTTAATATACACATTTGTACTATTGAACTCTTACAAACAGTATAAAATGTCAGTTTGTCACAAATAAACAAATAGTATTATATTTTGAAATGATTACAACATTTATTAGCAGAGTAAAACATAAACTCATGAAGACAAAACAGTTCTGGTTATGAATCATTAGAGAAGAGTGAAATCTTGTGTCTTCCACCAGTGTCTTCCATTCTTTTTCCAACCGAAGACCAGCTAAATCTAATCCCAAAATTTCTCTGCTCTGTATGATGTTAAATTTTTTTAAATACTTTTAAATTACAATGTATTTGTACAAAAAATGGGCACTAATTAACTGTTTATAGAAACCATAAGAATAATGAAAGTACAGAGGTTTTGTCATGCGATGAGAAAACCAAGTCCCTTGCAAACACTATCCTATACAGAACCATGTGCAAAAGAGGAAGACCAAAAACATGGACTAAGACTTACGGAGTTATAACAACTGAATCAATGGTGCTTGAATGATCAGAACAGTCATGGGTCTGACTTCACTTGAAATTACATTGTAAAACAATATACTTTAGTAATTATTTTTCAAAATACACTGGTATATAAAATACCAACAATTTTAAGTCAAAAAAAATTTTACACGACACTACAACCAAGTCCTTATAACTTGGGATTATGTAGATTATAAAACAATTATAATTTTCATGTTATAGCAGAGAAGAAAAACGTACTACCACTGCTATTTTATAATATTTCAGCCATTCAGTAGCAACCAATAAAGGTAAAACATAAAAGTAATACTTTATTATAAATGAAAATAATAATGTACCATAGATGTATATTCATTATTTTTCTTCTTAGTTTTTGAGGTTTCATTAGCTAGTTTTATAATGTTTTCTAACAACTGAAATAATTTTTATTAAATATTGTATTTAATTAGAACAATTCTGTTTGACTTCTTTTTCCAACAAATAACGTTATGTGTAGAGAGAGAAAGAAAAATAATACTGACTGCAGTAAAAAATGTTAAAAACAAGTTTTAAAGAAATTATAATGCACATATTTTATACATTAGACACTGCACATTCATTTAAAATAACTGAATTTATGGGAATTATTTATTAAGAATTTTCTTTCCCCTTCTCTGGCATTTACAAAAAATATTTTGTAAAGTCCAAGCTTTGAAATGATCATACGCAATTCTGGCAAGCCAAAGCATTTCATGTACACATTTTTCGTAGTAGTCTGGTGTTTAACAATTATTTTAATGTTACTGGTTCACAGACTACAAAGTGTTGCCAAGTGCAAACTATGAAAAAAATCATGCTGTGAACTAGGATAGATAAGCCACCATTAACTAATAATGCATGTAAATAGAAGTCTTTCAAGAATAATTGAAAACAAATTGTTTGTGCCCTTATTGTTTGATAAGCTCATTTATTAGCTGCCAGTCAATTTTAGGTCAAAGTGATGACTTTATTAACCCTCTCTTTACTGGCATGGTCATTTTCACCAATCGTCCAACTTCCACATGTCAACCAGGTAACTGTGAAAGCATACATACAGGGAGTTTTAATGTAGTAAGTGTGTCTTCGGGAAATTTGGCAGACTTTTAGTAAACATTAAAAGAATTTTATACAAAAAAAAATCAGATTTGTCTGTGAATTTTTGTAGTCAAAATCTAACTAGTTTGAATGTAAGGTGATTTTCATGTTCAGATTAAAAACAATTTTTCCATCTTAGTTTTTAAATTTCATTTGCATAACCTCTAGAACTTCCTAAATGGATATCAAAAGTTTTTTTTAGTAAAACTTTATATTTTATCTGTTATTTTTCTTTATCCTAACACTACACAGAACTTATCTGATTTGATTCACCTTGTAACCACCACAAAAAATAAGAAATAAATCTCAGTTAACATTTGTTTCTAGAGTGATTGCAGATTGTAACAGACAATTACAATTATGTTCCATCATTTTCACAACTACTTTTATTTAATTTTATTGTGTTATTGTTCTTTGAACCATGTTTAAATTCTAATCTTAAATAAAAAATACTGTTTTTTTGTAAAGATGGTACTAGTATAGAAATCACAGGGTAAGATTAAAGCATTTTCCATTAAGTGGTCTGCTCTATGTGTAAACTTACCGTGCTGTTAACTGATGAGAAAACAAAAATTATTGTTTGAAATAGATATACACACTTTTCACAAGCTATACATATTTTTAGATAGGGTTTACATTCGGTGTAACCATTTTTAAAAAGGCTAGAGCCAGGTGGTTCTTTCCTTCTATTTGAGTAAATAATATTTAAATAACAAGAAATTGTGCATGTTTATGTATAATGTAAAATTTTGGTTTCAAATATTATAATTTTAAATGCTTATTGAAGAC